CCGTTTGCCGTTTCTCTGTTTGCATTTTGTGTCCAATAAACCACCTTCTCACCTTCACGAGTGCCTGCGACTGGATCCTCCTTTGTTATCTCCACACGGCTCATCTCACTCGCCGTGACATCCGCTTCTTTTAAACATGTCTCAGTGCAGTCCTTCGCATGTCCTTCGCATTGAAACAGCTTTTCCGTCACAATCCTTTCTTTGTGTTTTGTGAGGTTTTTCACTACTTCTATTGTATTTTATTCAACTTCCATTGTGTTTTGCGAGCTTTTTCAGCATTTCTTTTTTATTTCATCTTGTTTTCTTAAGTCGCAGTGCATCTGCCCTCTCAGGATTACCGTGTAATTCACAATGCAAGCTGTGCTGTTTGTGGTCAACGTGAAGCTACATGACGGCTAGAAGATTTCAATGTAAATTTAAGCTGATGATATTGATTAAATTCATTCATCAAACTTTAACTTTTATTGTAGCTTCATACATACAAATCCACAAAGGCCTGGTGTATATATACATATATATATATTCAGTTTAAACTGTTGTCTGCGATTATCCTGAAGATTAATGTTTTGACATGTTGCCAGTGCAATGCAGTGTGACATTCTACTTATGACATTTTGATTTTTCTGCTGGGGGTCATCTAATCCCTGAGCAGCTCAGGGCAAGCCCTTTAGTTATCATTTCTGCAGCTGCATTTGTTATCTGATGTACCAGTGGGTGCAAGGTTTATTCCCACGAGCGATGCTCCGTTCTGTGATTGCAATTCCAGTCGCATCACAATGTTCAGTTCAAGGAGAAAAAAAACAGAAAAGGGTAAACCACTGAGTTGGTTTTTTTTTCTTTAATAGACAGAAAGAAATAGTGGGTGGAATAACCTGCCCATCAGTGCAGTATGTATGTGATAAGAATTAATATCACGGTGGTTGGTTAATTATAAAGCGTTATAACTCATAACATTCAGTTTTTTTCTTTTTTAGTTAAAATGCCAGATTTACCTTTGAGTGTCAAATCTTTTGAGATTTGTAAGTACAAGATGTAAGCAGAGCTGAGTGCACACGGGGTCAAACTGTCCAATGACAAAACAGGGTTTTCCTGGAAAGCCTTTAGAAGAGCAAAGGTCTAGACTGCCCTTGTGGAAAAGGAACTGGCAAAGGTTTTAGAGAGTACAGATTCTTACCTTTGCACTTTTTATTGGTCTTTTAAGAAAACATCTGCATATAGAAGCTTTTACTTTTTTGCTTTTTACTATTCCTCCCCACACTTTTAAACAAATATCTGTACTTTCTACTCTCTACTTCTATAGCATTTATACTCTTTCAGCATTCAGCAAACATCAGCAAACACACAAACTGTCTGTGTCCAGTTTGTCTCACAGTGTGTTACTAGCTAAAGGTCCAGCTGCTGTATTTCACAAGGTGAGATAAGTTCACTCAGAGATGGAGAAAGATGTAGAAAGGAAGGCGTGTTGGATTTGTATAGGATGTGTTTTTATAAAACAGACTAAGCTATGCTAACTTTGTGTTATTCAAACGTGGCATGAAAATACTGGGTAGTTTAGTGCAGGATAAACATTTTAGTTTGCAGTATTGTGGTGAATTGACAGTAAAGCTGTGTTGGACTGATACACAGTGTCTGTGGTGCTCATGGTCAGAGTTAGACGGCATCAAGTGTAGCAGAGATGAAGCTGCATTTAAGCAGATGATACTTAGATTAATTAACCGAATGGCAACTTTATATCAGTTTTATGCTGCCCAGTGTAAAGATAATATAAACAGTATTGTGTCAGTGTCGGGGATGGACGTCAGCCAGGATAGCTCGTGAAACTGCTGACAACTTGGATTCAGCTGTAGAAATCCAGAGCAGCAGGTCAGCTGATCACATCAAGTACAGAAGGGGAATTTACTGAAGCTCACATTAGAAATTACTGTGAGTCGTGTTTCTTTTCCCTGTGCTGAGACACTACACAGATCTCAGGGTTCGCTCACCTGCACTGTAACCCCTGACGTTACTCATTTCACTGTTTAGGTGTTTAGGCAAAGGCAGCCTCTAACAAGGAGGCGACAGAGAATCGTTACTTTTTTTATTCCCTTTCACTGCAGGTGTCTTTCATGACAGATTTAAACTAATTCATTAGAATTATTTTTTAGATAATAGCCAGTTTTAGTAATAACTTCGATATTTGTATCAAGGTAAAAGAGACTTTGTTAAAACAAATCACGTGATAAAATTATTGACACTGACATTTATACTCAGCTGCATTTTGAATAAGAAAGGTTAAAAAATGTTTTATTACCAGTTAATTGTTGTAGTGGTTTTCCAAAAAAACACAGAAATGCAGACAAAAACAGAGTTTGTACAATTCTAAGTTTTAAAGTCAGTATTTGAAATGACCCTCTTTACTCTGCAACACATATTGAACTCTCTTAGGCAAGCTTTCTTTTAATTTCTTGAAGAAGTCTTCAGGAATAGTTCTCCAAACTTCTTGAAGGACATTCAAAGATCTTTGGATGTCGGCTGCCTTTTGTTCTCTGTCGAGATGCTTCAGTAATGTTCAGGGTCTGGCCTCTGGGGAGGCCAACCTTTCATTGACTGGTTTTCTATCCAGGTGTGTCTTAACTGTACTGGCAGTGCGTATGGCATTGTTGTCATGCTTAAGAATGAAGCCACTGTCAATCAAATGGTAAAATCTGTCTGTACATTTCTGCTTTTATAATTACATCAGTGATGTCAAGATCTCCTACACCACAGGCCTGAATGATTGGTCAGTGTTAGTGGCTGAAGTAACAAAAAAAAGTTCTCTGAAAATGATCAGGTATGAAGACTGAACTGAAGAGGGGCAAATTAGCCAATGACCAAAGAAAATCTTTGAGAGGTATCGAGAAAGCCAGCTCAAAACCATAAAAAATGACAAGCAAGTCTGAAAAATATAAAGAAATGAGCTGTCCAAGATGTACCCAACCTGTTGCCCTATGATTGACAAGTTGGGTTCTAATCCCTGTAGATGCATAGATGGATCGGTGCGAGGGATCTGCAATTCTGGGCTACTTATAAGCAAAATGAAACATTACATTAAAGGTTTCCTCACAGAGAGACTGTGCTTTCACTTTTAGTAACAAACCAGTTTCCAGCATTCCTGGTTGAGTCTAATTGTGAAGCATTTTTGCTACGCAGAAAAAAGTTGTAGATATTTAACCAGTTTAGAGACTACCAACACACCACCGTGACTTTGTAACCAGTAGTAATTTAACAGTGTTAGAATTTGCTATTATCCTGTACTTACACGTGTGGTTCTTTAACCATTCAGTTACATTTTCATTTTAACATCTCAACAAAGGTGAGTGATCTATGCAGATGAATTGACTGTCTGAACTTTAGTCCTCAGTAAATGTTTCATATATCTATGCAGATGAATTGACTGTCTGAACTTTAGTCCTCAGTAAATGTTTCATATACTCCGAACTGGAAAAGCATAATTTTTCCATTTAGGAAGCCAAGATTGTGCTATAGTTACCATAGTTACAGCAAAATCAAGTGAAGATGTGACTTTATTTATCATTCAAGCGCATCAGCGTTTTTGCAGCTGTGAAATTATGATTTGGCTTCAGTGGAAAAAATTGATCCTTCGCTTAATTTGAGCATTTAATAATAAAGTTCTGCAGCGTTTTAATGCAAGTTTTAATCAAATGCTTTCTCCCATCCCAAGAATTGATTATGTTATCACAAACACACACACACACACACACACACACACACACACACACACACACACACACACACAGAAAGACGCAAGTTTCCATTCATGTGACCAGACTGGCTTTTCAAAGCACAATAGTCCCCAGTGTGAAACCTGCAGGAGATGGAGACTCTCTAGTTTGCATTTGAAAAATGATGGAAGGAGGCATGACAGTATGAGTTTCAGCACAGGCAGCGAGTGCACAGAAAAACTCAGCACATCCACCCAAACACTTGCCAAGTCGAACCAGATTACACAGGATGGGGAGAAAATCTTGTCTCCCCAGCTAAAGATCTCTCCACCGCTGTTTCTCTGCTTTCACGAGCATCACCCTCCACATCCTCCCACACTTCCCAAAAATATGTCATTTGCATTTATTTTTCACTTTTTTTTTAACTCACCGAGAAGCCAATTATGTGAATCTCCCTCATTCACTCCTTTTTTTTTGTATATACGACGAGCGTCACCATCTTTGTACAGTGAAAACAAATATCTGAAAAGACGCTGTATTCAGAGCTGCCCATACAAATGCAAATTAACATCGACTGTTTCAAATGTTTGTAAGAACAACTTTTCATCCCCTTCACTGGCATAGAGGGATGAGTGCAAAGCTACACGGCTGAATTCACGTATCTTAAGGTAGAAGAAGCCGTGTCTTGTTTAAGACTGCAGAGGCTTACACGGAGAGCTTCTCAAAATTGAAACAGGCTGATTGAGATTGGTTAAGTGCTGCATTCATTTCAAAGCTGCACACCTAGTTAAAGCTCTGCTTGCTTTCATATCCACATAAAGCATGTTATTAAGGTGAATGCTGAATTTGAAGCTTGCCAGAATATTTCCTCTGGCGTTTCACAAATTTGGAGCCTGTTGAACCACCAGCGGTTTATTTTCACTTTAAGACCCAGCATACTCATTCATATGTTTGGGAACTTTTATTCTAATAGTCAAGAGTTTTAAAGTTAAATCTAGCATCAGTAAAGCAAGAAAATAATAAATAGTTGTATTTTGGATTGTGTAGTAGAGGGCCACTTGTTTGCAGGGTGGTTACAGCAAGGATCTACATTACACGAGTTGGCTGAACATTTGCAGCTGCATGTAGCTGATCACTACTGATTTTCTTCTTCTGCAGGAAAACTAAAAATTCAGCTTCAAAATGTTCACTCTGACACTGAGCAGAAGCATCTCTTCAGCCACAATCTCTTCAACTCCCTCTTGGTTTCTAACTCTATCTTGTCTCTTTCCGCCTTTGTGTGTCTCCACTTGCTCTCAGTTTGATGTCCGGTCTGGCTGCTCTGGATGCCAAGTGCTCCAGCCGCTTGGGAATAATGACCATTTCATACTACCTGTGGACCACCTTTGTTGCTGTGGTAGTTGGTATTCTCATGGTTTACATCATTCACCCGGGTGGAGCTGCACAGAAGGAGGATTCTGAGGACAGCAAGAAGCCAATGACCAGCTCTGCTGATGCTCTGCTGGACCTCATTCGGTAAGAGACCACTAATTATTTCCGTTATGCTCAGAGCGCTGCAAGTGTAGCGCCAGAAAATGCATAGACTATGTTAAAGAGAGTTGCCTAAGTGCTTGTTTTTATGTAGTCCCATGGAAGAAGGATGAAGGGAGTAAAAACTTGGCTGTATTTTGCTTTCTTTGGATTAAAGTAAGTTTGTGTATTTAGTGTCAATAGTTCAAAAGCGAGGCTTCAGAGAAATCTGAGTCATTAGATGAACAAGATGTTGGGAAAGACTTTTGTTTAACTCATTAAAATTCAGCCTGTTGTTGCTTTTTTAACCAACATGGAAATCTTGTATTTAAAAATGAATAAAGCTTAAAAAATGCTTATGTACAATTTCATATCAACAAAGTCATGGAAAATAATCTTAAGAAAAACAATCTAGCAGAAAGAAAAAAAATCCATGGAGAAGATCGACTTTATTCCAGAGCGAATCTAATTCACATGCCGTATTGCTAATGTGCGCATTTTGGCTTTTGCGGATTTGCAAATGAAACAAACGTGTGTAGGTTATAGTGCGAATGAAAAGCAGATTTGCTCTGCGTGCTCATGGAGGCAGAAGTCAAGGAGGTGCTTGAGGTCGGAGTGTAAAGCCTGGAACCTTATGTGCCAGTGGGTTATTGTGCTAAGCTAATTAGTGCTGCTGAAGGGCTGGGTTGTTGTGCTAGAGATAGACCTGAAACATGACAGAGACTCGCGGCAGGTCAGTAGACTAAAAGAAGAGCGGCTGAGGTGTGGACCTGTGCACAAGGATATCTGATATTTGTGGTTTTTTAACCTAAATGCACAGAATGGGAGGCAAACAAAAACATGGAAATTATGAATTATGAACAAATTTTGGTTTTTTGGAAAAAAAAATAATAATGAACTTTTAAAAAAATATCAGGAATAAAATAGAGTTGGAAGACTCACTTCCAGTCACACTATCAATAAGAGGGAGTAATAAACTGGCCAAGCCTATGAAATCCATCTATGACCTGATCATGTGCAGTGGTAAAGCTTTGTTGTTCACAGATTCTGTGTGTGTGTGTGTGTGTGTGTGTGTGTGTGTGTGTGTGTGTGTGTGTGTGTGTGTGTGTGTGTGTGTGTGTGTGTGTGTGTGTGTGTTTGAGGGGGGGTTACAGAGCACAGCTGTGCTTTGGATTTATCCCGCAAAGCTTCTTTACAGCCTTCATCTATCATGCAGGCCTGCTGTATCACTCGACTGTCAGTGCTCGTGTGTGAATGTGTTGGATAAGCATCTATAATGAGCATGCTATGTAAGAATATGTGCATTCTTGGATTTATTAGGGGAACCCTGGGGTCAGAGTGTTTCATTAGCCAGCTTTGCTCTGATTGGATATCCCGCTGGTCCGATCTGTGCAGGATACTCACCGCAGTCTTGTGACTCACTCTGCAATGTTTCTGGAAATCTTTGCCATATGGTTTTTAACGTCACTCTTCTTAATGTACACGTACCCAGATGCAGTGTGGCTTTTAATCTCACTGCATCTTAAATGTGATGGTTGATTTCTGATTGTGGTTTAAATTCTGTGTCACTGTGGGATTTACCAGCAGCACTAATACAACGCAGACCTTGGACAGTAGTCTCTTTGCACAGAATACTACACAGGCAGTATCTGCACGTAAACAAAGGGCACCTCATAACTCTTTTGTATTTATTAGACCACTCACTCGTCATTCATTGTGCATTTAGTGATCCCAGCAGCTCTTGACTTAAAAAACAAATACTTTATAAGTTATTAGTCATGTTTGTGTAGTATCTGGGATTTCATTCCTACATATCGTGGAACAGTAATGATGTGCTGTGAGGAACCTAACTTTGTCTTCTGTCCTAAAGACACTGTGGCTCAGTGGCTTGGTCACATTTTAGGTAAACCTGTTCAACTGCATCTTAACATAAATATATAATCAGCATATTAAATGGCAGAAATTCCATGCATTTAGGCATGTAAACTATTCAGTTCAGTTCAATTCAGTTTTATTTATACAGTGCCAGATCACAAGAATAGTTGCCTCAAGGCGCTTTATATTGTAAGGTAAAGACCCTACAATAATACAAAGAAAACAAAGAAAATCCCAACAACTGTATGACCCCCCTATGAGCAAGCACTGTGGGGACAGCGGGAAAGAAAAACTTCCTTTTAACCGGAAAAACTTCCTTTTAACAGGACCATCTTTTGCACCGTAGTCTTTGTCCAACTTTAATAAAAATCATCTGCTCATTACTTAATTTTTTGTTACAGATAATTCATAAACTAAAGCATATTTAGCTTTTTATATAACTTCTATTTAAATAAAAAAGAATACCTTTTAAATACCTGACCCTCCTCTTCTGTCAGGATATAGTGCTACTAGACACCTGTCGCTGTGCTGTCTCAGCTCTTAAATCAGTGGTCGAAACTGAATTACAGAAAAAAACGTATTTAAAAAACACCAAACTTTGACAATTAAATTACAGTGATCACGATGCAGGTCTGCTCACTTACTTTATATTAATCTGTGGTCTGCATGAACGTGGGGCCAATCCACATCCCAGCTTACACTGTGTAAGGATACAGTGACTCATTTGCTATTTATTACATGACAAAAACAGAGAGAGGACTAGTCATATTAGTCATACTTAGAGTTTATGATGCTCTATCAATAACTCATCCTGGAAATATATAGTCATTAACCAACGTATCTCATTTTATCTTTGATCCTTTGAATGAGTTTGTCGGACAACCTTTCATCAGAATCAGAATCAGAATCAGAATACTTTATTGATCCCTGGGGGAAATTATTTTTTGTTACAGTGCTCCATTTTAAACCAACATTAAGACAAGACAGACAATACGCTAACTAAGAATAGTACAATATATACATATATATACATACATACATAAGTCACTCATAAATAAATAGTTGGAAAAGAAACGTGTAGTTGTAGCAGCAAACAGTGTGTTAAGTGGATGCGTTGTACAGGGAGATGGCCACAGGCAGGAATGATTTCCTGTGTCGTTCAGTGGTGCTTTTCGGTAATCTCAGTCTCTCACTGAACGAGCTCCTGTGACTGACCAGCATGTCATTGAGTGGGTGGGAGGTGTTATCCAACATTGTCTTTATCTTGGACAGCATCCGCCTCTCCGACACCACCTTGAGGGAGTCCAGCTCCATCCCCACAACATTGCTGGCCTTACGGATCAGTTTATTAAGTCTGTTGGCATCTGCGACCCTCAGCCTGCTCCCCCAGCATGCAACAGCATAGAGGATCGCACTGGCCACAACAGACTCATAGAAAATCCTCAGCATTTTCTGGCAGATGTTGAAGGACCTCAGTGGCCTCAAAAAATAGAGACGACTCTGGCCCTTCCTGTAAAGTGCTGTGGTGTTTTTAGCCCAGTCCAGTTTATTGTCAATGTGTACTCCAAGGTATTTATAGTCCTCCACAATGTCAACACTGACCCCCTGGATTGAAACAGGGGTCAAGTGTTTCCTGGTCTTCCTGAAGTCCACGATCAGTTCCTTGGTCTTTGCCACGTTGAGCTGCAGATGATTCTGCTCACACCACGTGACAAAGGAGTCGACCACAGCCCGGTACTCTGTCTCATCATCCCTGCTGATGCATCCAACCACCGCAGAGTCATCAGAAAACTTCTGAAGATGGCAGGTCTCTGTGCAGTGGCTGAAGTCTGTGGTGTAGAGGGTGAAGAGGAAGGGGGAGAGGACAGTCCCCTGTGGTGCCCCTGTGTTGCTAATCACCTTGTCAGACACACACTGTGGGAGACGTACATATTGTGGTCTTCCTGTCAGGTAATCAACAATCCAGGACACCAGAGAAGCATCCACCTGCATCGCTGCTAACTTATCACCCAGGAGGGTCGGCCTGATGGTGTTGAAAGCACTAGAAAAGTCAAAAAACATGACCCTCACAGTGCTCGCCGGCTGGTCCAGATGGGTGTAGACACGATTGAGCAGGTAGATGATGGCGTCCTCTGTTCCGAGACGAGGCTGATAAGCGAACTGAAGGGGATCCAGATGTGGTCTTACTATGGGTCGCAGCTGGTCCAGGATGAGCCTTTCCAGGGTCTTCATGATGTGGGAGGTCAGTGCCACGGGCCTGTAATCCTGGGGCCACTGGGACGAGGCGTCTTTGGTACAGGGACGAGGCATGATGTCTTCCACATCACCGGGACCCTCTGCAGACTCAGACTCAGCATAAACAGTTTATGAAAGACTCCACACAGCTGGGGGGCACAGGCCTTGAGGACAAGGGGACTCACTCCGTCTGGTCCAGCAGACTTGCCTGAGTGAAGTCTCCTCATTTGCATCTCAACCTGGTATTGAGTGAAGGTGATGGGTGGGGGAGGGGTGTCAGGAATCTCACAGGAGGCAACATGTGAAGAGAGAGGCTGGCACAGTGGTGTGGCTCTGGATTCCAGGCTGACTGCAGGTGAGGTTGTGGGGGTGGGAGCAGACACTGTGGTGTCGAATCTATTGAAAAACAGATTCAACTCGTCGGCTCTATTCTCACCTCCCTCAGCTCCCCTGCTGTTGGTTGGCCTGAATCCAGTGATGGTCTTCATGCCCCTCCACACCTCTCTCATGCTGTTCTGCTGGAGTTTCCACTCCAGCTTCCTCCTGTAATTGTCCTTAGCCTCTCTGATCTTGTCCTTTAGTAACACCTGGATCTTCCTCACCTCCTCTTTGTTGCCCCCTCTGAAAGCCCTCTTCTTGTTGTTGAGGAGGGCTTTGATGTCCTTAGTCACCCACGGCTTGTTATTTGGGTAACAATGAACAGTCTGAGCTGGAACAATGGAGTCGGTGCAGAAAGTTATGTAGCCTGTGATACACTCAGTAAGCCCATTGATGTCCTCGGCGTGAGGCTCACAGAGTGTTTCCCAGTCGGTCACCTCGAAACAGCCCTGTAGTTCCGCACATAGCGGGGGGTGAGGTGAATCAGGTTATGATCTGACCTACCAAGTGGGGGGAGGGAGGAGGAGCTGTATGCATCCTTGATGTTAGCATACAGTAAGTCTAAAGTTTTCTCTCCCCTGGTGGGACAGTCCACATATTGTTTGAATGTTGGTAATGTATTGTCCAGTGATACATGGTTGAAGTCACCCGAGATCACAATAAAGGCACTCGGGTGCTGAGTCTGTAGCCGAGCTATGGCAGAGTGGACAGTGTCACATGCAGCTGTGGGGTTAGCAGAGGGGGGAACATAGACTGCCACCAAGATGACGTGAGAGAATTCCCTGGGTAAATAATACGGCCTGAGTCCAACAGCACACAGTTCAGTGTCCGGGCAACAAATCCTTTCTTTGATTGTTATGTTGGCAGGGTTACACCACCGGTTGTTAACTAAAACAGCAAGCCCACCTCCTTTACGCTTACCGCTAGCGATGCTGTCCCTGTCCGCCCGAACAGTGTGGAAGCCTTCCACGGAAGCATTCTCATCGGGAATGACCTGGTGCAGCCATGATTCGGTGAAACACATCAGGCTACACTCTCGGTATTCCCTCTGACTCCGTACCAGTGCTGAGAGCTCGTCGATTTTAATTGCCAACGATCGCACATTTCCCATCACGATAGACGGCAGACACGGTTTAAACGGTTTCATTTCACCTAGATGGATGGTGGGCATCTGTTTTCCTCTCCAGAAAGAGATTGTTCTCTATTTTCTACTGTCCCCATTCTTCCTGCTCCTCTGTCTTCAGATTTCACCTGTCCGTGCACCTGAGTCCACTCTGTGGCAGCTCAAGAACTGAAGAACTCAATATTCTTTTCTTCAGAGATATGAGATGTGGAGATTTTCATTTGTCAGGACTGATAGGACTGATGCAGAAAAGTCTACTTACCAACAAAGCAAATTTTCAGTGTAATTTTATTAGAGTAAGACTTCTTGCACAGTAGTAATGATGCAGAATCCATAAAGAAGCTGTCGTCCTTCTTTGAATTTCTGATTTAATCAATTCCAATTTCACAGGGAGGAGATGTACAGGAAAGATTTACCCCATGTTGTGGAAGTTTTCCATTTAAATAAAGCCTGCAGACGAGCGGTAGCTAACATTCTTTAATCAAAACACACAAAGAACAGACAACCAAGCTTGTGGAGAGCCTGCATGACCGCGGGGCAGGTCAGCAGAGTCTCCCTGAGCCTAGCATGGCTCTCAGTTAAATACCTTCTTCAGGAACAAAAGGCAGTACACAGCTGTTTCACACCTTAAGGTTCACACTCCCTTGCTACCTCCCAGAGTCCTCGAAGAGACAAAAGTTTCTTCCTGTGCTTCCCCCCAGCTTCCTTACTAGACCCCCACCATTTGTCTTAATGTATGAGTGTGAGACTTGTTAAAATCCAGTGGCACCAAGGCATTATACAATAAAATAATGTGAATAATACATAAGTAAAAGAAATTCCTATACACCCGTAATATCAAAGCCAATATAAAAAAGAGGAGATACACAGAAATAGCTTTTGTTAAAGCAAAGTTATAACTGTTCTATTTCTCTGCATTGATTACATTTCTGGGATTGTTAACCTACATTTTACTTTGGATCCATTACAATGTGTCTGCTTTTCACTGAAAGATATTAACAAATTCCCTAAATTTTCTTTTATAGCAACATGTTTCCAGCCAACTTGGTCCAAGCTACGTTTCAACAGGTAAGCTCAAATACTGAAAGCATAGATTTCTGTTACCCCCTAATCTTTAATCTAAACTGCAATGCCTCTTTATATTATCTTCTATTGTCCATTTATTTCAACGCATTTGCAAAAAGAATAAAATTAATCTGTTGCCGTGCGAGAATGCAAACACGAATGAGCGTGTTTCATTATCATGTAAGAGTCTGGTATGTCACGTTCACTGTGCTCTGTTTTGGTTTCAAGTATCGAACCCAGAGAGTCGCAGAACTCATCCCCAAACCGACAGTCGCTCAGCTCCTGGATGAGACAACCACGCGGAGGGTCTACATTTATGGCATCCAGGATGACAATGGCACCGACACCCAGAACTTCTCTCTGGATCTAACGCCACCTCCTGACGTCATCGTGAAAACATCTCCCGGCACCAGCGAAGGCATGAATGTACTGGGGATCGTTATATTCTCTGCAACCATGGGTGGGTGTTTGACATGAATCCCACACGCACTAACATCCACAATGCACATGCATAAATATATATCTCAAAAAAGCAAACTTAAGTGAGGCCTCAAAGGGCCGATGATTTTGGTTTCCACCCACCATTGGTTCAACATCTTCATTCATTCTGTGCTGTGCAGGGAACAAACAAATGTTTCCATTCTTATCACTTAATACTGTTGAAAACATCCCTGCAGTTGCATGCTTGCATATTTTTCTTTTCCTTTTCCCATTCAGGAATAATGCTGGGAAGAATGGGACCCAACGGAAGTGCTTTGGTCAACTTTTGTCAGAGTTTGAATGAGGCGGTTTTGAAAATTGTTGCCATTGTCATTTGGTAAGAGCAGTATTTTACAAGAAACCCCTAACACAAGAAAAGTAACAACATTTGTGAAGTTTTACTGATCAACTATAACTAACACTGATAAAAAACCAGCACTGTTTGCCATTCACTCTCCGGCATGTTAAATTTGAAATATTCTGATATTAGTTAGATCAGACTTTTTCGTATTTAGGTAAATGTCTCAACAACAATTGGATGGATTACAAAAAAAAGGTGAAACAGACATGCCCCACTTTAAAGCCTTCATCTAGTGAAGGTTTATTGTAACGATGCTAGACTGGTCATTTATTGGCAGCCTTTTATCTGTCCACTACTTGCAAATGTTAGCATCCTACACATTATATTAAGATCATAGGTCCTTGAAACTAGTAACCACCAGCATATTAAAATTGTTTGGATTAAATATGTCAACATGCTAATATTAGTATCACTGTGTTCAGCAGTCCTTCCCTCCTCCTTTCTGCAGGTATTTCCCCTTTGGTATTGTGTTTCTGGTGGCTGGAAAGATCTTAGAGATGGACGACCCTTCGGCCATGGGGAAGAAGTTGGGCTTTTATGCCATCACTGTGGTAATGGGCTTGGTGCTGCACGGACTGTTCATCCTCCCGGCCATGTACTTCTTCATCACCAAGAAAAGCCCCATAGTTTACATAAGAGGCATTCTACAAGCCCTTCTCATCTCCTTGGCCACTTCCTCCAGGTAAAGCATATGACTTTGCAGATCTAGAGGTCCTAAATTATTAGTGTGAATGCTTGAAAAGCATTCACAGTATTGTTATTCGAATCTTTATTAGTGTGAATGCTTGAAAAGCATTCACAGTATTGTTCTTCTAATCTTTATTCTATTTTATTCTGTATTCCGTACGTTTTTTGTACTCCTACTCCTTCAAAACCGTTCAACTTAGAAAAACCATTCAAACACCATTAGATTCCTCTTCTTTTGGACATGACTGCTTCTATTTTTCTCATTTTTAACATTTATATTTTTAATTTTATTCAACTTTATTCAACAAAAATTTCCCAAAATTTCCCATGTATTTCAATGGGGAGACCCTTCAAATCCTCATTCAACTTACTCATTTTTAAACTCTTACTACTTCCACATACATTGACATAGAGCCACCATTCAAACTTTAAAACGAAGACAAGACATTCAACTATTCAACTTGTATTTATCTTTTCAATATCTATTATACTTTTTCTTCAGTTCCAGTTTAAGTTTCATGATGTTTTTTCACCCGTTTCAGAGTTTATAATGGGTGTGTATGGGACGGAATGTTGGGGCTAGAGTGAGACAGCTCAACTGCTAGAGTGAGAGGAGCAAAAAAATTAATCTTAAAATCTTTTTTAAAACTGCTGCTGTGTCCACAGCGTTTGCTCTACAGGTATGATTTTACCCTCAAAACGTAGCCATGGCTGTCCTCTTTCATCCAATGTGTTTACTATTGTACCAGGTGTTATGGTTCTTTCATAAATGCCACCAATGCACAGCCTCCTCCCTCCAACTCTTCCATAGACTCTAATGTTAAAATGGCTCAGAAGGTTCGTTTGAAAATCAGAAGAGCATGGTGTCTTTCCACTGTCACCATGTCCATATAATAAGCTCCACAGGCATGAAAACTGAGAATTAGGTAGACTAGACATTGTTGTCGCTCACGGTGAAAGAATTTTGTCAATACGACTTTTACTTTTCATTTGGGAGCGATTTGTTTCGGCCTGACTTTTCTGTTCATTTTAAGCAGCAAAAGTGAGGTGCATGTCTGTGTCCGTGTGTATGGAGCCCTTGGGTGCGGTCACTATAGCAACCAGGCTCACACCTGCCTGCTTAACGAGCTCTCTCTCTCTCTGCCAAGATTCATCTTAAACACTTCTCTTTCAACTGCTGCTGTGTCCACAGTGTTAAAGCCATCATTTTACCCTCAAAACGTCGCCATCGTTGTTCTTTTTCCAACATCTTGTCTTTCAAAGCTCAGAGATTTAAACTTTTTAAACTGTGTGGGTCCAAGTGGAGGGATCACATTTTAGTCATTCAGTGATTCAAAGAATATGACCTTTTAATATTCTTTCAGATGTTTTCTGACTCTAAATGTTCTTTTCTCATTTCTTAGGTTTTTCTAATTTACAATTAAAACATTTTCCGCTTTTTACCAACTTCTTCTTCTGTGTAACCTTCAGCTTTTAGCAGTTCAGCACTGTTGTTTTCAGGTTACATTCAGGTTGTTTTTTTTGTTTTTTTTATCTCATTCAAAATTTTTAACTCAAAATTCAGCAATTAATTCATTTCAGTGCATACATTCAGATTCAAGCATTCACACTGCAGTTTCTTCAGAAAATGCACTTTCTAGTTATTAGTGTGAATGCTTGAAAAGCATTCACAGTATTGTTCTTCTAATCTTTATTATTATATTTTATTCTGTATTCCGTACGTTTTTTGAAAGCCTACTCCTTCAAAACCGTTCAACTTAGAAAAACCATTCAAACACCGTTAGATTCCTATTCTTTTGGACAACATTGCTTCTATTTTTCTCATTTTTAACATTTATATTTTTAATTTTATTCAACTTTATTCAACAAAAATTTATAATGTATTTCAATGGGGAGACCCTTCAAATCCTCATTCAACTTACTCATTTTTAAACTCTTACTACTTCCACATACATTGACATAGAGCCACCATTCAAACTTTAAAACGAAGACAAGACATTCAACTATTCAACTTGTATTTATCTTTTCAATATCTTTTATACTTTTTCTTCAGTTCCAGTTTAAGTTTCATGATGTTTTTTCACCCGTTTCAGAGTTTATAATGGGTGTGTATGGGACGGAATGTTGGGGCTAGAGTGAGACAGCTCAACTGCTAGAGTGAGAGGAGCAAAAAAAAATAATCTTAAAATCTTTTTTAAAACTGCTGCTGTGTCCGCAGCGTTTGCTCTACAGGTATGATTTTACCCTCAAAACGTAGCCATGGCTGTCCTCTTTCATCCAATGTGTTTACTATTGTACTAGGTGTTATGGTTCTTCCATAAATGTCACCAATGCACAGCCTCCTCCCTCCAACTCTTCCATAGACTCTAATGTTAAAATGGCTCAGAAGGTTCGTTTGAAAATCAGAAGAGCATGGTGTCTTTACACTGTCACCACGTCCATATAATAAACTCCACAGGCATGAAAACTGAGAATTTGGTAGACTAGACATGGCTGTCGCTCACGGTGAAAGAATTTTGTCAGTACGACATGTACTTTTCATTTGGGAACGATTTGTTTCGGCCTGACTTTTCTGTTCATTTTAAGCAGCAAAAGTGAGGTGCATGTCTGTCCGTGTGTATGGAGCCATTGGGTGCAATCACTATAGCAACCAGGCTCACACCTGCCTGCTAAACGAGCTCTCTCTCACTCTGCCAAGATTCATCTTAAACACTTCTCTTTCAACTGCTGCTGTGTCCACAGTGTTAAAGCCATCATTTTACCCTCAAAACGTCGCCATCGTTGTTCTCTTTCCAACATCTTGTCTTTCAAAGCTCAGAGATGTCAACTTTTTAAACTGTGTGGATCCAAGTGGAGGGATCACATTTGAGTCATTCAGTGATTCAAAGAATATGAACTTTTAATATTCTTTCAGATGTTTTCTGACTCTAAATGTTCTTTTCTCATTTCTTAGGTTTTTCTAATTTACAATTAAAACATTTTCAGCTTTTTTCCAACTTCTTCTTCTGTGTAACCTTCAGCTTTTAGCAGTTCAGCACTGTTGTTTTCAGGTTAAATTCAGGTTGTTTTTTTTGTTTTTTTATCTCATTCAAAATTTTTAACTCAAAATTCAGCAATTAATTCATTTCAGTCCACATGTCTGTGTCCGTGTGTATGGAGCCCTTGGGTGCGGTCACTATAGCAACCAGGCTCACACCTGCCTGCTTAACGAGCTCTGTCTCTCACTCTGCCAAGATTAAATCAAAAATGTGTGTTACATCTAAGCAGTTGTAGTAAGATTAACTTTTTCAATAGGTACAATAAGACAGGTTTGACAGGCTTTTGCCACAGATTAACAGTATGTCAGTAGTTAATATAGGCTAACTGAATAGAGCCCTGAATTATTGCCCTGTTAAATTCAAGTTGATTGTGTATTGGTGGACTTGTCTTCTCCACACAGGTTTTTCATACCTCAGCAGTTTTAGTCAGTTGATGACTTTAAAATAATCTTTTCTGACTGGATAATTAAAGCTCACAACATCTACCTGTCTGTAGTGTATTTTCCCACATTTTAAATAATCGAATCTCATTTAATGTCACTGTTTTTAGTCTGTATAGTTTATCTCCCCACGAATACGCTCAAAGTAGTCTTAAAATAAAATCCATAAAACAGTTCAAGATGACATACTTTTTATTTGCTAATTTAATGCCAGTTGCCCTCTTTCCTGAGTATAAGCGAATGAGTGACATAAAGAGAAAAAGTACCAATTTGTATGCTGGTGAGTCTTGTGTATTTTTTTCTCTGTCTCTCTATGACAGAGAAATATATATGCTCATTATTGATGTTCAAACTGATGCTCAAATTTCCAAGCACCACCTGAACGCCTCATCAGTCTTTAACTAATCACTGCACCAACTGCCGTCATTCCGCTTTGCTCTCTGCTGTGGTAAGTACAATACACTCAGTACAGCACGGTTTTAATTTTATGATGGTAAAAATACATGTTTGACATTTAAACTCACATATCAAGTCTTTTTAAAGTTCAACAGAGTTCAAAGAATAAAGAAAGCAAAAAAAGAATAACCTTTGCTACCATTTATATAGGTTTATGACTTTTGCTGTTAGCAGCAGTGCTAACGCTAGCTTCAATGCTAATGCTAGCTATAGTGCTAACACTAGCCTTAGCAGTTGTTAACTGACAAAAAGAATATTCTTGTGATATTCCTGTGATATTTATTGGCGGTCAGTGAGACAAAAGTAACAAATGAGATTTATTATTGCCATTGTGCCTCAGTTTTAACAGTAAGAGTACTTTATGACTTTTGCTGTTAGTAGCAGTGCTAATGCTAGCTTCGATGCTAATGCTAGCATCAATGCTAACGCTAGCTATAGTGCCAACACTAGCCTTAGCAGTTTTTAACTGACAAAAAGAATATTCCTGTGATATTCCTGTGATATTTATTGGCGGTCAGTGAGACAAAAGTAACAAATGAGCTTTATTATTGCCATTGTGCCTCAGTTTTAACAGTAAGAGTGCTAGTTCTACCAGCAGTGCTAACACTAACTGAAGTGCTAACCCTAGCAGGAATGCTAGCGTTAGCAGCGATGCTAAGGCTAGTAACAGTCTAACAGTAGCCTTATATAAGTACTTAAATAAATACTTCAGTTAATTAGTTTGAATTATAAAATGGCTGCTGTATCAGCTGGTGTGCTATATTACTCTATAATTACCCTGCTGACTATAAGTTCAGTGTATCATGTCGTGTGGGCTTTGTTTTTTTGTTAGTCTGATAACACTGTACAGACAACTAACATGTTATTTCTCGTCTTACACTTTCAGGAACTTGACTCACATCTGTGCTTTGCCTGGTAGGTGTGCATATACTGTTAGAGAAGTACACCAAATTTTTAAAAAAAGAGTCTGACTAATATAAGCTTTAAAGTGATGGGTTCAAACTTTGTGCTAGACCTTTTAAACACATTTTTATAATAAATACACATAAGTTCAGCTTAACAATT